GTACTGAATGTCAACCACATTAATCAAGTTATTCACCATAAACGTAGGGAATATGTGCAAGGCAGTTTCCCTATCACTAAGAGACACGACCACATAACTGCATGAACGGGTCCTGATGATGAACTTGATTTGGTTAGGAAGACTCTTTACGGTCAGGTTCGAACAACGAGAGTTAGTGAACTGGATTGTGGTCGATGATGATCGTAAACATTTGTACGTTTAGAAGTAATACCATGTTCAAGGCAATTTAATGAGTTGTGAGTTAGCTACAAGTTTCACTACTGCGTACACGACCACACATAGAGCGAGCATTAATTTCGTTGATGGTCCAAGATGTTTCGAAACTCTGTCTGGATTTATGAAGATATGGCTAAGGGTCTGCATGTAACAACCTGCATGTATTCATCAACGGTGCTATAAAACAAACCGTGAAAGACAATCGGGAACGTACATATTTTGCGTGGAATATGCTAACAAAGGTACAAACAATGTTTCACAGAACTGACTTGTCTCCGACTCTCAACGATCGTGCATTGTTTGCCATAGTTTCGTACGTTCACTCATTTTATAACGGTTATCTGACAATAAAATTCTTTCCATGCCAAACATATTTCCGGTCACATTGGAGAAAAGAGAGCGAGTTCGAAATGACACGTCGAATTTTTCGATTACAGCAGTTCATCCCAATCTTTCAAGAGTCAATAACTACTGCGAAACAGCAAACGGAACTTCAGCATTCATTTCAAATAGCAGTTATAATTTTTGTTGTTAATCCTAGTCTCCGGTTATCCTGGAAGGCTTCATATGCATTTAGAGAAACGATCTCGCCTCAAACAACGAATGACGTGAGCTCATTTAAAGCTTATTGGTTTCTTATCTCTCAGGATTGGAACCGTATTAATATCATTCCAAAGTGAATCTAGATTCCTCAGCCCACAGGCGATTAAACCATACAGATTTCTTTTTGACTACGTCTAGTCTTGCGTTCGAATTAAATTACTATAAAATGAACCATAGTTTAGCGACCCAACTTTTATGTCAGTACTGTTCACATATTGTTTCACTGTAAGCACGACAGTTAAAGCTGGCACACCATTTGTAGTGTCAATTTAAAGGCAGGTGAACTCACTGCAATATCCTCAAGAACAGTTAGTCGCAATCGTAAAAGTACCACTGCCATTCCATTAGTGTCATCCGTGCATTTCTTTACTTTCACGTACAACTCGGTTGTTTGTTTGCAAGGTGTAGGCGCCTTTGATTTTGTATGTTTGAATGTAGACGTAGCTACTTTTCAGTGACTAGGTCTCTTCCCCTCTCACTGTCTTTTGTCCTCTCTTCCTATACAAGGTTTGCTTTTTATTCTTCTTCATGGTTGTGTGGCAGTTAAGCATCAGTGTAAACCACTGATGTATTGCTGTCTATGATGATGATGATGATTATAGCTCTGTGTCACATTACAAACCAGTTTTTTTGGTTTTAAAAATTTAGTAAGTTGGCCGTTCCAAGTGCCTAAACAAGGCTATGTGGTTGTGCATGATTGAAGCGAAACTGATGCCTCACGACGGATATACGCACCGAACGTCCACTCCGTAAATTCCGTTAACAGATATATGGAACTGACAACACCGAAAATCAAGTTCACATCTGCGAAGAAGAAGCTGGTTCACATGATGCTAGACTACAGAGGTGAAACGTTGGTTAAACCGGTGCCTCGTGGGATAAGCAGCGCAAATGAAAAGACCTACAACGCAGCACAACTGCGAAACTGCTTCAAATCCATCCATACGTAGCCTAAATGTGTTACTCCATTCTTTGTTTACACTTCCACATACTCCTGTAGGGTAGGTTACGTCGGTCGTGCAACCAGGCGCCTTTCTCAGAGGATACGTGAGCACCACCTCCACATGGCTGACTAAGATCAAGGTGTAATCAATTTCGAGTGTAATTCTGGCACACCGCGTTAATCAGCGCAGAAAGAAGACATATGTTGCGATATGTTAACATTTCGTTTACTCTCATCAGTCGCAAACGTAAAACATGCAAGTTATATATGACAGACAATTAGAGATAGACAGGGTATGGACACGCATACAATCACACCACGAATTATGTCATCACCACCACGGCAACACCGCGTTAACTCAGGGTATCAAGTCTCAGCGGAAGTGGTTTTCCGGCCCATTTGCCGTTTGTCCAGTCCTTAATCCAGAGGAGTCAAATTTCGTATTCTGGCCACCGCGGGAACGATCGGAATTCGGTTGCGCAATTCACAGTTGTATGCTTAAAATAAGTCTGTCTAGTTTACCACGATTACCATGGTTCTTGACATCTCCGAAGGTCAGTTTGGTCATCTGATTGCTCTCCAATTCAAACCCGTTTGACGTAATTATACAACAAATTGCTTTTAAGTTTGTTTGCTTGACAATCAAAATAGCATAAAGTGTTGTATAATTGGCTAGATGATTACTAATCAGACAGATGAAAACAGACTGTTTGCCAAACTATCTTCTACTGCTGGTAAACTCACGGAGGCTATTCGGAACACATACATGTAAACATATGTGGCCGTTGTCTCTTCCCTTCACTTGTTACTTCATGTTTTGAAGTTTCACCTCACAGATTTACTCCGTTATGCTCATCCTCCCCATCTGTACATGCAGACAACTACAGCCTCCACATACAAGGTTTTCTGCACAAAGTTTTGAATTACCTCCACAAACACAAAACGGTTGACTAATTAGACTGAAACATTGAAACCCTCTGTTCGTCACTTGACTTACCAACCAGCATTAATTAGGGCCGGAGTTGCATGCTGTTCTGTGTCTGTACGGTCCCATGGGATCACCTGAATAGAATCCAAATGCGTGGATCTCAATTCCGGACAGAGAGAAGAGAGGTTGATGTAACAGCCTTTATTGCGTCGTTGGCAAGCGGACAATAGCAAAACCACGCTCATCGGATCACGGAATGTTGCATAGCAGTGACCTGAAAGTTTGGGCAAAAAGAAACTTATGTATAGGAAATTAAAATCGGCTTCTAGTTTTCAAACTACAAGTTTTGCTCACTTTGTTTCTATGGCACTTTAGTCGATGGTCATCACTTTTAGCTGTTTTGTCGGCTGCGGCCTGTTACAGTCTTACAGACGAAGATCCTGCCACCAGCTTCAAACTTTGCCTCTGTCCATCGCACACACCAGTTTGATGGTTTTGCTTCATTCTATGTAGAGCAAGGTATAACCATCGCCAAATAGGTTTTTGAACGCGAGGATACAGTAAAACGAATAGCTCCACTTTTTGCGGATGTATCAACGCGCTATACTCGACCTACGCGCTTCAGCCAGTTAGTCTGTGGCACAGTGTAACTGCAGTATTCCGGCTTGATCTGAGCCAATTGGCAAAGCAATGTTGGTTCAAACTGATGCACCTTAACGGACACACCTGCAAACGATAGTCTCAAGTTAGAAAAGACGATAAACGACTAAAAGTTATGAATGTGTGTCTCAAACGTCTTCCGGGCAACAATCGTTCGAATAGGTCTAGCAACAAAATAGACAAAATAGATCTAGGCCAGATATGCTCTTGGAGAAATCCGCAATCCAAGTTTTGGCAATTTATGATCTAAATAGGTACGAGAAATCCTGCGAATGAGCAGTAACTTGCTGGATTGCCAGCTTACACCGATTATAAAACATGGATTCGAGATTATGTTCATACTATTCCGTGATACTCGATTTACAGGTCAGATTCATAAATTCCTACGAGAAGTCAAGTTATGTTCACCTTGATTGTGAGTTTTCTGACCATATCTTGACACATTTGTCTTAAATTAATTTTGAATGGAATTCCTATTAAATTACAATTTACATCACGATATCTTCAACTTACAATATAATATATAAAGTTATATATATAAGTAATCCACCTTGATCCTATCGAGGCGATACGATGACATAAAATGACGTTTGTTGTGACATTGGAAGGTGTTCTACATTAAGAGAGACGATGTTGAACATACTTTTCATTATTGTTATCAGGTTGTGTTGTCGAATTAAAAAGTCATCGCGACCTTTCGAATGACCTTTGACATCGCCGATGAGCGTGTTTTTATCTGGATAACATAGTTGTCCGCCTGGTTTGGCCCAACTTATACATGAAATTTAGTCAGTGTGAGTAATCATACTGTAGAATAAAGTCGTTCAGTGGAGCACAAACATTACTGTTGAACCCATAGGTTCGTGCCATCGATCGTGCGCTCCCATTTGTTGTAAGTGCACACGACTTACAATGCAACACCGTTTCAATTGAGAACACTTGTGAACTGCTCACCAGTCTATCCAGGAGGGCTGATATTTGTCGTCTATCATATCTCACTTCTCGCCGTTAGGCCGGTTCTATCCCAACGGTGTATCATGCTATCAGTAATCTACCTGCTGCAAAGTCTAATAGAACTCCACGACTGCAATGAACTATTTCAGTGAATATCATTGTAACCGCATTCCTGCCACGTTTCTCGTACACAGAATTAACTTCTGATAGTTTGAGTGTGACACAAGGTTGAGTGGATGTTGCACTGTCCGGATAGGCATATGAGGTTATAATGTGTGTTTCAAGTGAAGTCCCGCGATTTTCTGATATATCTATTGTGCAACAGAATGTAGAATTCATCAAGAATGTACTGACAGTCGTGTTAAGCCTCTTCCGTCCCTTACCAACCTCTCTTCTATACAGCCTTAAAGGTTTTGTACAAATACCCCCGAAAGACCTCACCCTGAGAGCTGAATTGTGCCAAAGATGGCGGAAATTATCATAATTAAGTACATGCAGTGGTTCTGAGTAACGTGCAAGTAGTTCGCCTAACTCGTTTGATTCAAAGTGGAAAACCATGCACAACATCGACCGGAAACAGAAGACCAGTTTCTCATGATGGAATTAATTACCAGCGCTCAGTAAACTGATCACACATAGAAGCACCATGAACTTAGAACTAAAACGTGCAGTTGAGCGACGCTGGTGTAATGGTGATCATGGTAGCTTTCCTAGTTGTCGATCCGGGTTCGATTCCCGGGCGTCGCAGCACGCAGCTTCGTGCACGTTTTCTTTTCCCGTTTCTGTTAGATTCTGCTTGTTACCGTTAAAAAAGTGGGCAGATTAGGAGATGCCATTGCTGAACCTCAGCTACAAATAAACATACCTACCAAGTGATACAAGTGTGATCAAATTAGACAGATTTAAAGTTGCCGCGGTCCTCACAAATACCAAACAGTAAGCGTTAGTAGATAACGAAGTTCCAATCAGCTCATCGTCCTTACTACACTGACTCCAGCGCTTCACACATGGAGTACACAGTTCGCGAAATTCGCGCTGCCGCACGGTCACACAATCGATCAAATACCGTTGACCAGCTAGTGATTGATGCTAGATAGTGATATTGATCTTATTCAGGTGGAAACCGATATTGGTGTTAGGCAGCCCATAGGTAACACAGTGGTAGAGTATACACACATCTGACTGCAATGTCGCAAGAACTGAGGATATCGGACGGGGTTGTAGCGACTATAATGAACAATATTCTTGATAGTCGCATTCACTTGTACATTTTGGATGAGTTTGATTTTTATCCACGTTTGTTTTAGTCAAGCTATCCATCCCGTAATATTCCTCTCGGGGCAACAATCACAACTTGCTACGTGCCTCGCTAGCTTGACGTGCGTTCACCGTATACTTTATTTTCCAGTGTCGGTACCAGTACAGGGGGGTCAACGTGCTGAGTTTTTGTTCTTCATTGTCGAACGGTTTCCGATAGTGAGTACTGACTGGATATTATTCTGTTGGATTGGTTCCAACACCTGCACCTGATTGCATGAACTTGTACGCGTTTGCGACCTTTATCTCCTTCCGGATTGCGACGACAACAATGCCATAGTGGTTCACTTCTATCGCATTTGGTGAGCTACGATCTCCCGAATATCCTGAGCCATATGATTTGGACACCGTACCTACACAATTTATTCCACATGAGTCCACGTATATTTCAAGTTGATCTGATAAACCGAAACTGGAGACTGACTTTCATAGGCAATTTACTGGAATCAAAGACCCGAAGGTCTAATTTACCTGACAATGAGGATTAACCAGTCCACAGGAGATGGGTAAGATGTCTGATTTCGATGGGTGCTGCGAGCTGCAGATGCAGTAAAGCAAGCATAACGTTTTTCGAATGAAAAGAGTCATACGCCGGTGGTCATAGTAGAGCAGTTGATTATCGAAATACCCTGAGTTTAAAGGTAACATTTATAACCCCTTCTTACTTGTGCAGAAAACCGCAACGCCGCGACAAATAACATTTCTGGTCTATACTCTATACTCAGTACTTAATCATCCCTATACAGTTAGCAGTGCAATGAGCACAGCCGTTTTTCGTTTGACCGCTCCTCTTTAGTCTGTCTGGCATAGGTACACCAGAAGTGGTTGAAACCTCAGTAAGTATGGCCCGCCGGAACATCACAATGCGCAAGCTTGACCATCACCATAAAGTGCCTACCGATCTTAAACATCCGCATTAGTTACAGAGACGATGGATCGATAGTCAACACACTCATATTTTTCAAGCTTTACACTAGTGTAGAAGTGAACGCTGGTCAGAACCTTGTTTACGCGCGCTGGACATGTTTGTTCATTAGAATGTTTAGCAAACGAATTTCGACTGCTTATTATCACGATGCAGAATAATCGATATCCGCTGAGACTTATCAATAAACACAGCCAGCTACCTATGGAAGTAGACAAAGTTTACACTTCTAGGAAGAAGAAAGTCCACATTAAACTATAATTCAAAGATGACACTCTGTGGCTTCGAACAACAAAATGTCTCACCAAGTCAGCCAACAATGCGACTGAGATCGTGGTGTTCGGCAGTACTCTTAAGCTACGGTCACTTTCGGTAAAGGGAGAGCAATCTATTGACGCCAACTCACACTGCAGTTATCAATTTGTGAACAACTGCGGTGAAAGTCATACCCGCAGAACCAATAGGAACTTGAACTGTATCAGGAAGGAATATTTGCCGAAATTGGTTCAGAACGTGACTGCGCAGTCTACCTATTTCGTCCCGGGATCAGGCAAACTTCCGACTTTATCCGTCGCCGGATACATGTTGACCACCAGTCATCGGACTAATACCGAATCGTCATTCATGATCATAATACGTCATGCCAATCCGTGTTTTCTACGTTTCACTGAGGTGGCCCCGATTAGCCATATCAAGCAAGCGTTGTGTTTAAAAACAGTTATATGTAAACCCTAAACTCTCATGGACCTCATAATAATGTGCTGTTGTCCTCCACCTCATTTGCTGTTTAATTTCTTCATCCCCCACCCCACTAGTTTTTATGTATACTTACACATTTACTTGCGGTTATTGTTATTTGGTACTAAGGAGGAACTAAGGAATAACAGCATCTACTAGCGCCTGCCTTCTTACTGCTATGTTAAAAACGTCAGTAAATAAACCGTTAGTAAATTCGACACTACTGAAAGACGTTGATGGTGAAGTGATTCTATTTTTCAGACCAGCATGTTGTCGGTAGAATGTGCGTTTATAGATTCATTCGAGATAAACTGAATATCTTCTTAAATATGGTCGTCTGATTGTAATAGCTAGGACTAAGAGCGAATGCTGTTCAGCTTGAAGCACAACCCCCGGAAAATGATAAAATCGTCTCTTGATTGGCGGAGCTGTTATCCACGATCACCGTCCTTTTATTTATGGACCCTGAAAATTGTATAAAGATGCGGAGGAATTGACCGATAGCTTCAGTTATCTCGTTCGCCAGCCATCTGAAGCAGACCAACAGTCCCATCCCGCATGCATCAATCACAACAACGACGAGCGGGAAGTACCTGTCCGAACAGCTTCGATACGTAGCGTCTATCCTCATCACTTCGAGGTATTACTGCCACAAGACCCACTGTTCGGAATTCATTACAAAAATTGGGAGACACTATCATCACTGTCTGGAACGTAGCGGGCGGGCCCTGAATCGGTTTACTGAAAAGTTCTACTAGGTGTGAAGGAGAGCTCTTTTGCACCATGTACTAGAGACGTGAACTACACATCCCTAGTGGAGGCGTTCTTGTCAAATTTATTCTTTATTTCATTACACAGCTTGAATATACTTGCATCCTGCATTAACCAATGCACGATCTCCTCGACTCCCCATTTGTTTAGACGTCGGCGACAAGGGTCCGTCTGGGTTGCGATTACGTTCGCCTGGTGACTCTCTGTGGCGTCTGTTCATGTCACCTGAAAGAGTCTTTTAGCGCTCCAGTTGACGTTGACAAACGACTGACATCTCGTCTGTCTGTGTGGCTTGTCCTGAGACAGTGACTAGAATGTGGTAGTTGACCCTTCTAGACGCAGATGTAAACTCGGCGGCTTATCTCGGTCTCATTGGACGCTGTAGTACGCATGCGACAGCATTCTGCGATGGTCTACTGAAACTAACGAAAGTCAACTGCAAACGGGTCAAACGATCGGAATAGCTTTGAACTGTAACCGACCCAAAATAGTGCCGGAAGTTCTCCGTCAAATCAGTGGTAACAAACATGGTTTGAGGTTTGAGAAGTGCCGTTCCGAGCGTCGCTTGTGAATTCATTGCCTTTTGTTTACCGAAGTATCCTATTATGTGGCCATTTTTCACGTACTGTATCACAGTTTTACTTACACCTCTTGTTCACTGGTTTGATTCGTCTACAATATCACCAGCTGATTTGGACAAAGCGTGGACGGACAAGGCAGCTATTCATTACAGTCATATTTGTAATTCAAATGAACGTGAGTCAAATATTTTTTACACAGCGTGGTTTAATGACTGTCAACACTACATAGACGACCGTTTTCGTACATCTGTGTTTGATCCGATGCAGCTACTTGTCTCATAAACTGATATTTTTCATTCATACCTCACCAGCGCATTACAGCGGATCTTATTGCAAAATTGAGTCAAGTAAAGAAATTCCTCTCAACTAACCTAATCAGCTTACCTTGTAAATGATAAGGCATTGCTGTCTAAGTCTGTGTAGAAATTCCTTTTGACTTCTGTTTCCAATACCAGTTTTTTCTTCTGGAATCTCCATTGTTGTATCCGACGGACAGGGCTTTCATTTTCACACTGGCCTACCACCTGGTTCATCAGTACTGGTCGATTGAGTACAATGGACTTCCTTTACAAACCTGACTTAGTCCTCCGTGTTTACGTTATGTACTAGAAATATACACGGAACCACAGCTGGTGCTACCCAGACCACTCAAAATGACGTGTCTGTCCGGTTGTCTTTTGATTCTAGTTATTTTGAGGAGTTAATCCGAAAAACAATATCGTCAGCCAAAGGAACATGCATATTTGCACACAAATAGTGACATTCGAGTGGTTTCCAGTCAGATATACTCCACCTCTTCTTCAATAGCCCATATGATATGATGAATTTAGGCATACTGTTTTCGGACTTTGCTCTTCTGTTTAATTTGATATGGATAGTCACGTGTTCAAAAGAATGACTCTCGTCCATGCAGTGTTGATGCTGTGTACTAATGAGACGCCGTTAATAAAATATTTACAAGCACATTAAATTTCAAAAACCGTCCAGGAGTAAAGTAGTGATTTCGATCTGAGAAAATTCCCGGTCAGCATCTGTAAAAATAGGACTTCATCTAAACCAAAAACCTTTCTGGTCTTCACACATACGTCCTGTGAGAAACTTAGTCCGAAATTATTATTGCACAGATGTCCTATAGTTACAAGCAGTAAATGGACATAATCACCATCACCATCATCATCATCATAATAGCCATGAGTATGACCAAAAGGTACTGTGGCTCGGACCGAAGCCTGCTTCAACAGTGACGTGGAATATCCTGGAAGAAAACTTACTAAGAAGGTTGAAAATTACTAAAATAACACTAAGCGGAAGAACTGGAATTGGTATGGATACAGGAAAGCCATTGATTGCGACACATCGCCATCTCGGATATAGCGTCTTTAACCAGCGGTTTGAGTTATCACGAGGACCCCATC